CAAATGCTCACCTCACATACCTAGGAAACAGTGGAATTGTTTTTTTATTTATTTTTATTTTTTGTTTTCTTTCCAAAAGGGATAGTCTTAACAAATGAGCTTCATCGAAGTAAAGGTTACTGATCTAGTTTTAAAAAAAATTCTAAATGAATTACCTTTCTAAAATCTGCCCACCTCTTTTATCAAACACACAAATCAAATATCATGGGATAAAACAATTTTCCAGTTGTATTGGATTATCATTAAATATTTCCTAAAACCGCTTAGAATTCAGTTTGCTCTCTTTCTTATTTTTACTGTTTTATTTACCTTCATCTTAATGGTTTAGAAATAAAGTCTTCATCTAAACTATGGACATTAAAACTAACTTGCAAACATTAAACAATAAAAAAGGTTTCGTGCAGCAGTCCTCAACTTTTACATCATGCCTCCTGTTTTTTTCACAAAGACAGCAAACTCTTATTGGTAATGCTTCCCATCAGAAGCAGGTATTCATCAAGGGAGAAAAGTAAGTAGGACTCACTTCCACCTGTACCCAATGCTGAGTGTATTCTAGTTGTACCAGCTAATTTTTAATATTCTGTAAAATATTTGGCTGAAGTCTGAATTCTGTGAATGGCCAAATTACTACTCTAGTGTGGAGGCAAAGGGTAAAAAGAAAAAAAAAAAATTACATCACCAGAAAAGGAGCCCATTACTGCTCTTACCCTGGTATCTTAATCTTATTTGCCACTTCTGAACCAAAAAGAGTTGAACTTCTAGAAAACTTTCGTTGTTACTGTTTTTCAAGCCATACTCAGATCTTTTTAGGCGAACGAAGGAAAAGCACAGAGAAGATAAAGCAAACAAGGGAAAGTAAAAAATATAATATTTATAGTATTTCAGTGAAGTAGTGGCAGTAAACTGGAGTACTTTTACAGAGACTTGACAAAATTAGAAATTCTGAGTCATTGCTGGCCCACCAACTAAAATATTACAGACTAGGTATGGTCATCTTTTACCAAAAAAAAAAAAGTTTAAGTAAATTCAATAAGCCCTGCTTTCTATTAGCAGAGTGAAAGAGCTAAGATTCCTTAATGTGGACAGGGTGGTGGTAAGGTAGGAAATCCTTTATTAATTTAGTGGGAAATACCTACTGATATTCAGAACTGCTCTGATATTCCTTCCCCCTTAACTCAATAGTGCTAAGGATTTTAAGGAAATACTCTGTGAAAAGTAACACAGCTCACTAAGTATTAGTAATTCCAAAACCCAGGTGTTGCAGTATAATGAATTAATCACTATTTATTTATTTATTTATTTTTGAGACAGAGTCTTGCTCTGTCACCCAGACTGGAAAGTGGTAGCGTGATCTCAGCTCACCGCAGCCTTGACCTCCTGGGTTCAATCAAACCTCCTACCCCAGCCTCCAAAGTAGTTGGGACTGAGAGCACATGCAACTGCACCAGGCTGATTTTTGTACTTTTTGTAGAGACAAGATTTTGCCATGTTGCCCAGGTTGGTCTTGAACTCCTGGGCTCAAGTGATCCACCTGCCTCAACCTTACAAAGTGCTGAGATCACAGGCTGTCAGACACACCACGCCCAGCCTTTAATTATTTTTAAAACACATTTCTAAAGATTTTTGTAAAGCAGCTAATGTCAACAACTTAAGCAGCTTTAATAAGCAATCTAAGTCAACAGAGAGAATGAGTATTTATGTGTGTGTACATATACAGGGACACACATATGTGCGTAGATATGGTATATAATGACCCATGAAATCCAACACCTTAGGAATGAACTGAAAATGCTGCTAACAAGAAAAATTTATTCAAGAAAGGAGGTCAACAAATTTCTAAAAATTAATTTTAGAGAGAATACATGATTTTGGCATTTGGTTATTTTTTAGCAGCAGATATTAAATTTTCTTTTATTGACATAATGACAGGTAGAATGCATTCAGTGCTACTATGAAACCATTCTGGGCAATGTATTTTGGTAGTCTTGTTGCTGCTCCATGCATTTCAGAGGAAAATTACACACTAGAAAACCCAAGTCACTTCCTTGTTGCCCCACACCCAGGACACTGCACAGTATAAGGCAGCCGGAAAGAATGCTGTGTTTCACCTCTAAGCAGAAGTAACTAGAGACATGATTTCAGGGTTTCTGTGCAGGCGGGGTGGAATGAAGCAATTAGTTGTAATGCTAGGGGCAAAAAGAGTGGGTGCTCTCATCCCGCTGCCAACTCCAAGGCTAGAGGCCAACCCCTCACTGCTGTATTTGGCTTCACGAATGGGGAAAGTGTGGAATTCGCATGCCTGGGTGTATGTGTTTTGAGCTATATACAGATATCTCCCTGTTGTGGGAAAAGAGAGGTCAAGGTGATAATCATAAGGGAAAGAATTAGAATTCATTTTACTAAGGTCTGAGAAACACCAAAATTAGTATCCCAGAAACATAGAATTTTTAATGGTACAGTAGGAAAAGCACAGTCTGGTGTAACAGAAACATCTTATTCAAGTTGGGTGAAAAATGACATTCTTCAGAAAGTCCTCAAAACAATCACTGGCCAGGAATAATTTATGTTGTTCAAGAAGGAAAAAACATTGCTTTTACTTTTACATTACTAATGTAATATGCACATGGACATTAAATAGAGAAAACAAACTGGTGACACAGTTAACTTTTACACTCACAAGGCTACCATAGTAGATAGATAATGATAATATAAGATAGCTTTGGCAAAAATGAGAGTGAATAAATGAAAAGCCCTTTGATTAATGACTGGCCTCCCCTTTACTGCTCATCTACTGTCCATTGTATTTTAATATGCATTATTTGGAAAGGCTTCATATATTTTCTCTTTGTCATAATAAGACTGTAAAGTAGGTACTATTAATCCTATTTTACAGACAAGAAAACTGAAGTCCAGCGATATTAACATGTCATGAAGTGACACAGCCAAGATTTGACCTCAGAACAGTCTACACCCATACTGCCTTCAATATTCTTACAATTCTGATGGGTTTAGGACATAAGTTCTGTACCTATTACCTGGCAAAACCAACACTTCTTCAGAGAAAAAAAGTTTATTTAGGAACTGTTATGGGCTGAACTGTGTTCCCCCAAAATTCCTATGTTGAAGTCATAACCCCTACTACCTCAGAACGTGACTATATTTGAATATAGGGTCTTTAAAGAGGTGATTAGGTTAAAATGAGGCCCTTAGGGTGGGCCCTAATCCAATCTGACTGATGTCCTTAGAAGAGGAAATTTGACGCACAAGACGACACCAGGGCTGGGCACAGTGGCTCACACCTATAATCCCAGCACTCTGGGAGGCCGAGGAGGGCAGATCATGAGGTCAGGAGCTCAAGACCAGCCTGGCCAACCTGGTGAAAACCCATCTCTACTAAAAATACAAAAATAAGCTGGGCGTGGTGGCTCATGCCTGTAATCCCAGCTACTCAGAAGGCTGAGGAAGGAGAATGGCTTGAACCCTGGAGGTGGAGGCTGCAGACACCAGAGCATGCCCCACAGAGGAGAGACCATGTGAGGGTGCCCATCTACAAACGAGGAGGAGAAGCCTCAGAATGAAACCAACCCTGCCAACACTTTGATCTTGGAATTCTAGCCTCCAGAGCCTTGAGGATATAAATTTCTGCTGTCTAAGCCACCCAGCCTGTGGTATTTTGTCATGGCAGCCCCAGCAAACTAATATAGGACGAGAGACGAAATCACTGAATGTAGTAACATAAAGAGACTGCAGAACTAACTGCAGCTCGTCTGTTGTTCAAGACCGGACTGAGAATTGTTGCTGATTTGGGGCCTTGTTAATAAAGCAGGAAAGCGCTCTATCCCTGTGGGCATGAAGGATTGCAGGATTGAGGTTGCCTGGTGGAAACATACCCCTTCCCGGGTATTCCTCTCAGAGTACTCTCTCTCACAGAAACATGGCTGAAATGTCCCCACAACTCCAGCATACACACCCTCACGAGCAAGGTACATGATAAATTAAAAGCATTTCAAGGCATGGCCCGGTGTTGTTACCTCAGATCTTGCTAGAATAACATGACATTTATAAAAATACAACCCATTGGATGTCTGGCACCGCTTGGGAATGAAGAATATGTCCACTTAAGAGGCAATACCCGGGGCTATCAAAAAATCTCAAGCCAGGATTTCTTTTCATAAACATTACCTATCTTTTTAAATTCTACAGTCTGGGAGGTGAAAAAAAGAAAAAAGTCTGCTTATTTCCAAGTCTCCTTTTACTTAAACAGAACAAACGTAAACCATACACAGGAATATGCTGAACGCTCAGTCAGGGCACACCGACAGAACGACTCTGTGCACCTGGCAAAAAGCCTCAACACTCATATCCTTCGCGTGGGGTCTCCCCACCCCGGGACACACCTACACAGAGAGCTCACACTCCACCTACGTCGACCACCTCCAATCCCCATGCACACTGAAAGGGAGTATTTACAGGTTATGTTTTCAGATACCAGCCAAATAATGTTCCCGTTCACTCTCTCATCCACCTCAGACCATACAACATTTAACATCTAGAAGGATAAACTCAGCCCCTAGCACATACGACAAGGGTGAGCAGTCATCGAGGAGTTCTCAAGCAAAGAGGATTTGCCAGCTTCCCTCTGAGGTCCAGGCCCTGAAAGGCCAACTGTGGTATGTTTGAGTTTCCATCAGGCCTGGTGTTTGCTGGCTGTGCCCATGCTCAGTAAGAACTCCACAGCCCAACTGTCCTATAAACGTCTTGGCCTTCTGCTGAGAGCTGCTTGCCTAGCACTGCTTCTTGGAGCTGAGAATATGCTGTTTGAGAGCCACAGGCTGAATCTTAACTAACACTTGGAGCATAGCTGACCTCTCTTTTCTCCAGGCCAGTGACTGCTCTAAACAGACACACACACACACACACACACACACACACACACACACGCACACACACTTGAACATGAACATAATAAGAACGGGAAGAAAAGCCCAGATTTTCCTCACCATGTGCCACCCAGCCATGTTTACACTGATCACAAGTCCTCAGGTTAATCTTCCCTGGCTGAAAACATTCACATGTGCAGTTTACCAGTGTGCAACGGATGGCCTGAAAAATAAAGGAGGAAAAAAAGGTCAGCATCTGTTCAAAGATACTATACTCTTTTCACCATTTTAATAAATAATGCCCACTTCCATTTTTAAAGGCTTTATGATGGCAGGGGCCTGGAGGGTTTTAAAAATAAATTTAGATATCGCCACAATCTCTTATAAAAAAAGGTAAAGAAAACAAAGCTCATTCACTAATACAATGTTTTAGGTCATTCATAGTAACCTTTAGATTACAAACTTAGAATAAAAATAAAAGATTACATATTCTATAAGATACTGGATTTATGACATCACAAATCCAAAAGAGGAAAAAGTATATTGCTGCTAATATATATTTCCACTTAAATTTATCCACTTGTCAATAAAGCAAAAAATACATTGTAACAAAATAATATTCAAGTGAAATGTCTGTGAAAGTAAAATATGGCACACAAATATTATTATTAGAATACTACTTTTCTTCTGCTGAATTTCAATTAAATGTTGTGCCAAACTCTCAAGTATATTTTAAAGACACTCCTGTGATTAGTAAGACCTAACATATTTCTGTTATTATTTATCACATCCCAATTCCTTGAGTATTTTTTTCTTTATTAATTCCATTTTCGTTCCTGTTTTGAAAAATACAAAACAATCCTCCTCTTATTTCAATGGTGACATAAGAAAATAAGTTTAAATTTTGGTTTTAGATCAGACATGGAACAGAAAAAATCATTTCTGTGAATATTTTATATTTGGAACAGTACACCTGTATTGCAGAAAACTGAAAAACACACTTAAAAATCTTTCATTTCCTTATAACTACTTTAAAAAACCATCTCATCAGTTAATATTATAAAATGAATCCATAGAACATTAGCATAAATGGAGTGTAACTTTTTATGAATAAAAACGTATGTTTAAGAATTGTGCTGAAGCTGACCTATGCTCTCGGACTACAGTTAATAAATTTACCTCATACAGTTAATTCTAATTTGCATGGAAGTTCTGAAGACAGAAGGGATTTAGTCTGATCATTCGCAGATTAACAATCTACTGTAACTACTTGAACTGCCAGGAAAAGAGCTCTCTGCAGATTTAGATGCAATCAATGATTACTGATTCTGGGGTGGAGGGGTGGGCATGGGGATACCTGAAACTGCAGCTCCGTGTGTGAAAGCCATGCTCACTTACACAGCTCCAGATGCTCATACTTCTGGAACCATTTGGATTTTTATAGAGACTGTCTCATTTGTAACAGGCAGTATTTTGGATATTGTTAACGTAATTGGGACAAATTCCATTCACAGAGAATAAGACTGAGTGGGCTTCTACCATTCCCTATGCTTTGGATCAGGCACGTGTAAAATATTTCTCTTCTATTAATTAACATTAAATCTATGGATCCCTATTTGGTTTCAGATGTTGGAGTCCTCACTGTAGACTCCATTCATACTTCACCCCCATCTTTAATTTGTGCTTCTGTTTAACACTAGGGAAATATTTAATTGTATAATCTTCCCTGATATTTCAGGATCTCTCTTCCAAATATGGTCCAATTGTAGCTAGGTTGTAAACTTTGTTGTATATAGAAGTGATTAATTTGTAGACTATAAGGAGAAATATTTCTTCCAGAAGTTCTTGTTTCAATTTCAATAATTTGTTGACTGAGAAATATATCAGAACATCCCAAGTTAGAAACAGTTTACTTAAATAACATGTCCATTAGTTAATGAACTCACAACTTGATTGTACGGTGACCAAAATAAAAAGAGCTTAGAGGACAGCGTTTCCACTAAAAACAAGGAACTTTACAAATTATCTAATTATAAATTCAGATATGGGAACTATGTTGACATTAAAACATTTATATAATTCGAAGTGCAATAATAAAAGCTTTCATAAATGCTTTAAAAAAAAATACCTCTGCTTTACCAAAATCAAGGGAGGGCCAATAAAGTGAGATGGTATTTCAAGGACAGTTAATATAAACTCTAGCATAAAAGACACAAATATTTCAATCATTAATTTGATAATATTTAATTATTTTATAAAAATATCCTAACTTTGTATTGTTTACAGCACACTTTCATCAACTTTAATTATACCCAGAACAAATTTAAGATCAGAACAAATTAAGAGACTGTGGATTTGCTTTATTTTTATGTGTATTTTTTTTTTTTTACTGGTTGAATCATTCATTCACTTACTCTGAATTAGTTTATGATTCAAATATTTTGTCTTCCTAAATAACTTTATACATCTGGTACATTTGGGAATTCAACTTTTTAGATCATCATTCCTTTTTGTGAATTCTATTCTTTTTGTACCTAAACATACAAACACTGGAACACCTCAACTCCTTTTGTATATAAACACTTAAGCACTAGAATATCCATTTTGTATTTCTATGAATTCCAGAAGGTCTATTTGTTTTAAATTCAGATTTATATAGACTACAATTGTCCCTTAAGGGAATTATATATATTTAAACAATATGGCCTAAATAAATATTTTGAGTAAGACTACTGCGGCTTCAAAGGAAGTTTTATTCTAAATAACATTTTTGAAACAGCATAAAACTTTGACATACTATTTATTCACAACAAAATAGAACCAATGTGATCACTGGCCAACTCACCCACATGCAAAGACATAAATTATCATAAAACTATCAAAGTCAGTTAAGCCTCAAAAACGTACATGCATTACAAGGAGACAGTTGGGAAGAGTTAAAATGAATACACTTTCATTCTTGTGAATATGTTCACGGCTGCCTCCATTCAGCTCATGTCTGAGTGCCTCCAACCCTCTTCTGGGCACTCGGAACAAGACCAAGCTGTTACATTCCGTGAACTACACACTTTGAAAATGCAGGTATGCAGAAAGGAACAGACAGTTCAGTCAGACTGTTCCCACCTATCTATGCAGAGATTAGTATTCAGGTCTGGGTAAAGCAGACCTCCAGGACCCAGCCTAACAAGGGTGCCAGGGTGCCCTGTAACTCTTTCCTCAATTTCCATTATTGGAAACTGTCTACTCTTTTCTTCATACCTGTATTTTCAAAGTTTGTCATTCACAGAATGTACCACATACAGCTTAGTCTTGTTCCGAGTGCCCAGAAGGGGGTTGAAGGCACTCAGACCTGAGGTGAATGGAGGCAGCCGTGAACATGATCAGCATGCCCCAATTCCCCAAGAACAAACATAACAACAGCCATAAATTTTCTTAAGTCTGCAACTTATTGAAAGCAATTATTCCTTCTGCTTACCTTTACCACTGACTTCTTGAAAGAGAAATCCATGCACCCAGCAACCAGTGCTTCCACTTCCTCACCACCACCTACATTTTAACTCCACAATCCGGATTCTGCCCCACACGTGCCTGAAACTGTCTCTCTGAGAGGAAATGTTCTCATCCCATCTGGTCCTTTTCTCTGGTCTTCTTGTCCTCCCAGACTCTGATGCAGCTTGCAGCACTAACTCTCCTTCATTCCTGGGCTATAGAGACTGACTATCCTAGTTTTTCTGGCAGCAACTGCTCTCTCCTCTCTCTCTCCACTGTAAATAAATACAGGTGTTTCCCATGGCCAAGCTCTTCATTCTTTAATTTGGCAATTTCATGCCCTCCTACAGCTTCAAATATCATCACTAAGCAAAAACCATCACTTTGAAGCCAGGCAATGCCTCTTAAGTGGTGGGAAGTGGATGGCAGCGTCCCTGTGCTCAAGGACTTGATAATTTGGGGTTTGGGTGCAGTGGATTTAGAGGAGAGACCCCAACTAAGAACATAAAAGAAACCCTCACACAGATGGGAGAAGGACTATCTCCTCCTCATTATTCCTCCTCTACCAAACCTCAGGATTTTAATTTATTTATTTACAATAGTAAATTATTACCTGTTATAATAATAGCTAGATGGATTGAATATCTGCCATTTTCCAGACATTGTGCCAGAGAGTTTATAAACATCAGCCTTCTTAGTATTACTTTTATTTCACAGAGGAGAAACTAAGGTAGAGATAATTTACTATGTTACCTAAAGTCACAGATCTAGAAATCGGAATCAGCTCTCCATTCCACTGATAAGGAATCTTTTTTTTTTTCTTTTTTTGGAAAGAGACACAGTCTAGCTCTGTCATCCGGGCTGAAGTACAGTGGTGAGATCATGGCTCACTGCAGCCTTGACCTTCAGGTTCAAGCAATCCTCCCACCTCAGCCTCCTGAGTAGCTAGGACCACAGGCGTGCACCATTACACTGAGCTAAGAATCCTGAGTTACGATTCCATTCACAGCAAGTTATGGGGCAGAGTTTTCACTGATATTCTGCCTTCCTCCAAAGATTATGTATCCCTTCCTTTCCTGTCTTCTACTCTCACTGCTACTACCACAATTCCAGTCTTTTTTTCTAGACTATCCAAACTATCTCCTAATTAACCTACACATTTCTCTTCTCTCCCCATCTCCATGAATATTCTCTCTTCTTAAGAGATCCACACAGTTGATCGTTATTTGCTTGACTGAGGTTATTTTCACCCTCCTGTCAGATTCTGCCTACTCGAGTAAAAACAGTGGCTGTCTGTCCTCCTTGTTAGACAGCTGACTCCTCTGTTATCCAAATTCTCAATCCCTACTTCTCTAACACCATGCTCTCTAGCTTCCCTCCTTCCAAGTCCTGCTTAAGTTGTTAACTCCTACTCATTCTTTGGATTTCAAGTACCACTCATTCCCCAGGGCAGCGGCCCTGTCTCCCATTCAAGACAAATTCCCCACTAGACTCCTGTATCATAATCAGTCTGTCAGAGTGCTTAGTATGTAGATTGTGAATATTACATTTATTTGTGTGATTATCCGATATGGGTCTGTTTTCCCCTCTAGAACTTAAGTTCCGTGAGGGCAGGACAGACATGTCTATTGGGCTTTCAATGTAGAGTGGCAAATAATAGGTGCTCAAAAGGGACTTTAAAAACACAGGATTCTCTGAACCACTTTCCTCATCTGTAAAGTGATAGTAACAATG